TTCATTCTTTTCTTCAGTAATGCTTTGGAAATTCTGGGTCTTTGTGACTTCTTATAAATTTTAGGATTATTAGTTCTAGTTCTGTGAAAAATGTCCTGGATAATTTGATAGGGATAACACTAAATCTGTAAGTTGCTTTGTGTAGTATGGCCATTTTAATACTATTTCTTCTAATCCAAGAACATGGAATATCTTTCCATTTCTTTAAGTCATCTGAATTTTCCTAATCAATGTTTTGTTGTTCTCCATGTAAAAGTCTTTCACCTCCTTGGTCAGATTTATTCCTAAATATTTTATTTTTCTGGAATGGGATTTTAAAAGGGATTGTTTCTTTAATATCCTTTTCTGATACTTCATTGTTAGTGTAAAGAAATGCAATTGATTTCTGTATGTTAATCTTGTATCCTGCTACCTTGCCCAATTTTTTTTATCAGCTCTAGCAGTTTTTGTATAGAGCCTTTAGGGTTTTCTATATATAGTATCATGTCATCCACATATAGTGCCAATTTTACCTCTTCTCTTCCAATTTGGATCCCCTTCATTTCTTTTTCTTTTCTGACTGCTATGGCTAAGACTTCCAATACTATGTTGAATAGAAGTGGTGACCAATGTTCATAGCAGCATTATTTACAATAGCCAAGACATGGAAACAGCCTAAATGTCCATCAACAGATGACTGGATAAAGATGTGGTATATTTATACAATGGAATACTACTCAGCCATAAAAACCGACAACATAACGCCATTTGCAGCAACATGGATGCTCCTGGAGAATGTCATTCTAAGTGACGTAAGCCAGAAAGAGAAAGAAAAATACCATATGAGATCGCTCATATGTGGAATCTCAAAAAACAAAAACAAAAACAAAAACAAACAAAGCATAAATACAAAACAGAAATAGACTCACAGACATAGAATATAAACTTGTGGTTGCCAAGAAGGCGGGGGGTGGGAAGAGATAGACTGGGATTTCAAAACTGTAGAATAGATGAACAAGATTATACTGTATAGCACAGGGAAATATACACAAGATCTTATGGTAGCTCACAGAGAAAAAAATGTGACAATGAATATATATGTGTTCATGTATAACTGAAAAATTGTGCTCTACACTGGAATTTGACACAACATTGTAAAATGATTATAAATCAATAAAAAATGTTAAAAAAAAAAAGAAGTGGTGAGAGTGGGCACCTTGTCTTGTTCCAGATTTTAGCGAGAAGGTTTCAACTTTTCACCATTGTGTATTATGTTGGCTGTGGGTTTGTCATAAATAGCTTTGATTATGCTGAGATGTGTTTCCTCTATACCCACTTTGGTTAGTTTTTTTTTTATATATATAATAAATGTGTGTTGAATTTTATCAAATGCTTTTTCTGCATCTATTGAGATGATCATGTGATTTTTGTCCTTTCTTTTGTTGATGTGGTGTATTACATCGATTGATTCATATGTTGAAACTTCCTTGTGTCCCTAGGATGAGACCAACTTGATCAAAGTGTATGATCTTTTTTATGTATTGTTGGATTCTGTTTGCTAATATTTGGTTGAGGATTTTCACATATATGTTGATAAATGATATTGGCCTGTAATTTTCTATTTCGGTAGTGTCTTTTAGTTTTAGTATCAGGGTGATGGTGGCTTCACAGAATGAATTTTGGAGTGTTTCCTACCTCGTCAATCTTACGGAAGAGTTTAATAAAGATTGGTATGAATTCTTATTTGTATGTTTGGTAGATTTCCCCAGTGAAGCCATCTGGTGCTGGACTTTTGTTTGCAGGGAGGTTTCTAAATTACAGATTCTATTTCACTTCTATTTCAGCCATTATTTCTTTAAAAAAAAATTACCACTTCCTCTCATTTTTCTGGGACTCCCATAATGAATACAGTTGCCCACTTGATGATATTTATAAGTCACCTAGACTCTCTTTTCTTCATTCTCTTTTCTTTGTTACTCCTCTGACTTGCTAATTTTAAATGACTTGTCTTCAAGTTCATGGATGTACTTTTCTGCCTGATCAAGTCTGCTGTTGAAATTCTCTAATGAATTTTCAGTTTAGTTATTTTCTATACCCAGAGTTTGTCTGGGTTTTTAAAAAATAATTTCTATCTCTGTTAGTATTTTGATTTTATTAATGTTTCATTTTCTGCATTTAATTTCATTGTCTGCATTCTATTCTAGATCATTGAGCATCTTTAAAATGAGGTTTTGTTGAGTAATTCAGAAATCTGCCTTTCTTAAGAGTTAAGTGCTGGAGTTTGTTTTGTTCCTTTGATTGGGGCATATTTCCTTGTTTCTTTGTATGTCTTGTGAGGTTCTGCTGAGATCTGAACATTGAGATCTGACACCTCTCTCAGTTTTTATGGCCTGGCTTCCTTTACGGGAAGTCCTTCACCAATCAGCTCAGCTAGAGGTTTGAGGACCTTTCAAATCTTTTCTGGGATGTCTTCTCCAGGGTTGTGTCTCTGTGTGGATATATCCCAGCATATATCTGTTTTCAACTGTCTTAGTTTCCTTAAGCAGTTGGAAGTTTTGGTTTCAGTTTCTATTGTATTCATATTCTATACTCTGTTTCTCCCTGCCTGCAGAATTGCAAACTTCCCTGAGCTTTAAAGCACTTTAAAGTGTTACAGAGCTTGCCTCTTTTTTTCTGTGGATTTCAACCTGCATTCATACCTCGTTGCCACTCCTGTTAGTGTTCTATTAAGCAAGACAGGAAACAGTCCCTTGAGCAGCCCCCAGACAAGCCAGAACATTAAATGCAAATTTCAGCCTTTTCTTTCTGTTCCAAGGAAGAATTCTGGCATTGGGAAGTTTCCTCCTCACTGTGCCACGCCATGCTGGAGGAAGGATTAGGTGAGAAAATGCCACTAACTTCATACCCTTTTTGGTAATGGCTATGCATTCATTTGTGTGATGCAGCTTCCAAAACTGTTTCTAGAGTTTTTCAAAAAGGTATTTTTGTCTGTATATTGTTGTTAACTAAGTGTCTCTGCAGTGAACAAGGGCCTGGAGCTTCCAAGTCCACCATATTGCTGATGTCACTCTCACTTCCTATTGTCTCTCTGTTGCCCTTTTCTTCATTTAGCATTGCTTCATTGCTGTACGTCTTTGCCTGTTTCCAGAGTTCTGACAAAACTGGTGCTGACATTTTGTGCTAATTTGTCGATTTTGTCTGTGACGGTACTGCAACTTGGCACTACCTCCTGGGCCATTTTGCCCTGGATGGTTGCTTTTGAGCTGCATTTGTTGTATGAATAGGATTTCAATATGTGGAGAGTTGATTCAGTCATTTTCAATGAGAGAAAGGGCATGAGCACATATAGATAGGAAAATGCATAATGTATTTTCTTAAACAACATATAAAGTATGGCACTTCACACCTGTCAGAATGGCTATTATAAAAAGAAGACATAACAAGTGTTGGCAAGAATGTGGAATATGCTGGTGGGAATATGATTGGTGAGAATATAGAAAACAGTGTGGAAGTTCCTCAAGAAATTAAAAATAGAACTCCCATATGTAGTTCTATTCATACCATATAATCCAGGAATTCTACTTTAGAGTATTTATCCAGAGAAAATGAAACCACTGATGTGAAAAGATATATGCATCCCCATGTTCACTGCAGCATTATTTACAATAGCTAAGATATGAAAGTAACCTAGTATTCATTGATAGATGAGTGGATAAAGTAGACATGAG